GCGCTGGTGAATAGTGAATGTCTGGGAGCACCTTTGGAACACCGCACCTTATTTCGAATGGTCCGATCAGCTGGTCCGAAGGGAGCAAGTTCTACCGAAGCGATCTAAGAAGGGAACAAAATCTTAATGCGCCCACAGAAACATCGTCTTTGACGGACTGAATATTAGGAAAAAACTGCTTAATTACCTCCATGGACTCAATTTCTGGAAGACCCATACGAGTGATGATGGTTCAGCTGGAACATCCTTGCGGTGCCTAACTGCAGTGCCACCGAAAGAAGGTAGCATGAGGACGAAGATACTACCGGGTTGTCCAAGCCTAGACAAGAGCAGATCGGGTTTGGAACACGGACCTCCCGGTCAATTAGTTCTCACCTAACCACTGAGTCATCTCCAGATGTGTGAGTGGAGCCCGATATGAATTACAGCACGACATGAGGTTTCCACCGGCAACAGAACTGCTTCCGCACAACAAAACGCCTTTTCCAAGCGGTTTCCTTGCTGCCTTTCCTCGAAAAGCCTGATTCTCGCAGCTAACCTGACAGCCCGAATGCAAGACGTATGGAACGAGACAGAATACCAGCGGAATGGTGCGCTTACACTGCGATTACGGCTTTTGCAAAGGGTTCAAGAACATACGAATACCAATCTAGCAGCCATAGCTTCTGAGGTGTCCTCTGTTATTCTGCACCTATGGATCTGTGAGAATTAGACCAGCTTTCGCCTTGACCGAGGTCTAGCTGAACATGTCGCCACTGCAATGAATGTGTGAATCATCATCATCATCATCAAAGACAGCAACATCAGTGTTGGCACTGATGCTTCACTGCCGTGTGTGAATCGATTCCGTTCAAGTTGGCACTGATGCTTCACTGCCGTGTGTGAATCGCACCATTCCGTTCAACGACCTTTCATTGATTCTGATAAGAAACTGTGACAGTTTCTGACGATGGAAAAGGCCCCTTCTGCATTTACTCTCCTAGGTTGTTGTGTATACCCAATGCTATTGAAGGCCAAATTTTCACCTGAATTCGCTACATCCAGTGATTTCAGGCTTGATTGCTTTTTATCGTCCCAATTTGACTTCTTTGTCGACATTCTACTTGGATATTTTTTGCCTTTGACGGACGCCTCGGAAAATGAAGTGCATACAGGGTCCACTGGCATTGAATACGCTGACAACTTTGATTTTTTGAGTTAGACCTCCCACTGAAATGCAGAACATCTTATATAATCTAGGTAATCCTGCTCCAGTATTTGTCATGCGTTTCATAGTTGAAACTTGTAAAGCGTTACTGAAAGACTTGCTGGTGCTAACGCTCGCAGTGGTAGACAATTTCATATGGACTCGAGTAGGAAAGCAGGGGCGGCGTTTGCCAATATCTGACATTTATGTCGCCCATATGACAGCGGTTTGGTCACCATGCGCACCGCTGCAATTCGGTCAGCTCTACTTTGAATAAGAGACATAGTTGCTGCGTACTGGTGTTCGAAAATTGTTTGTATTTGACAAACTGCGCCAGTTTAAGCCATACACTTCGTATGTCAAGGGACTACTTGCCTCACAGTCCTCTCCAACCGTGTAAAGAGTTGTTCGGCTGTAACACCCTTGCCGTACCTAGATGTCGTGCCACCCGAGAGAAGCACGATAGGTGAAATACTGTCAGGTTACCGTTTCTTTTGGGGACGAAGCACTGGTGGCTGGTCCGTAACTTCGCAAGAACTCAGTAGGGTTGGAAACTGCTGTCTCCCCAAATAGGGACTTTTGGACGAGACGCAGGTATACATAGTCCTGTTGTTCGGCCAGTGGCGGTTCTGCATCGGAGCTATCCATCATCACGTACAGCAATACACCAATAATAAATAGTGGCGCATCAAAACTATTCCCCTCGATGCACAGCCGTCTCACTCCAGAGTTTATCAGGCAAGTATAATAATCCAGCGGGAGCTGGAACCATTGTGACTTGTTACAAGGTGTATACCCCAACAGCTGGCTGACTGGTGCAAGGTTTATTACGTGAAATAGCAAGTCCTCCTTTTGCTTTCCTTTTCTCGTCCCTAAAAATGCTACATTCTACTTTCCGCCCATAGCGCTGCCACCAGACCTCAATCCTAATGGTTTGGTGTGTTAAGGATCTTCGACCAAACATATGATATTATTTGTTACAGATTCTCTAAAGCCCGTTTTTCCCATACCCGCACCTGCTGTATGCCATGCGGTCTCTTCTAATAAACAGTAGTGTTTTATGTATATTATCCGCGTCAAACTCATCTCACTACGATGTTCGCCCCCCTCTGTGACCATTTAGCCTTTCTCTTGAAATACGAACATTGATAAATTGCCTCAACAGCGCAATGCTGACGTGATGGACAAGTTTGTTGAAGTCCGAATATCTCAGGTCCTGCCACGTTCAGGGTGGAGCAATAGATGAACACTACTTTGTGCCTTCATCTGCCACATTCCTGACAGATGTACAATTGTCACAAGGACAAGCCTCATCAGACGAGCGCGGCCTTGTTTGTTGAAGATATCATCAGCTGGGTGACTGAAAGCTGATAGGGATCAAGACCGGTAACCAAGAACTAGAGACCCGCGTTGTTTCTATCGAAAAATGAGCACGGTGAACTCCTCTGGGCGAGTTCATTCACTTAGTATCCCCGTTGTGCCAAACTTAACTCTATTGCACTGGACGATCGAGTGGTGTTGGCAGTGTCTCGAAAGTCCAGGGTCTGTGCTGAGTTCCACCAATGCATTTTACTTCCTAACCTATCTTAGTGTTTACAGGTATGTGGTCGGAAGATTTCAGCCCATTTGTGATCTACATAACATACTAGGCGTCTGACTTTTCGCAACAAACCCCTATATTTTTATCTGATGTTTCAGTAAAATTGGAACTTTTCGCTCAAAATAACGCCTAACACGATGTTTTTGGGACGTATGTAACGTAGTACTGGTCACTCTGGTCTGGTGATTGTATGGACGTTAGTTGAAGACTCCCGTGATTTGATGCATCGCTGTAGGGTTCTCTTATGGGAGACAGTGAGGCATGGATAAACACAAGCATTTGGATTAGATTTTGAGCGGAATACATCTTGAAATAAGCTATTGTATCCAGCCTTAACTTTGACTTAGTCTTCACTGTTATCGTCCAACTCATTCTAACTATACGTGTATTGTGGTTATGCTCGGTATTGTCATCACAAGCTGCATCACAACACATAGGAATCTAGGAACAGCCCATGATACGACCGGGATGTCCCTCTAAGGGTGTAACATCTAGTTAGTTAAGTGAACTTAATTTCGAAATGACCTTTATCTCTGTGCATTTCTTTTTTTCCATACAAATGAGTAAATGGAGGCATGGGTTAACCTATGTTGAAAAAAAGGTGATCACATGATTCTACCATGGTTACTTTTCTATTTTCTTCGATCACATGGCCTGCAGAAGTTTCCTGGAACCAAACTTTGTGCTGCAGGTGTGTTTCTTCTGCCCGTATAGCAGTGAGACCGCAAATTATAAGCACTAGATACTGCACAAGGTGTCATTCTAGTTTCACTGCTTTCAGGACCACTCACTGCCGGCTCGATTCAACGTTCAGCCGGAGAACAGCCCGCCTTTGACCTCAATGACTATCCCCAGCTGTTCAGATATCGCCAATACCTAGAACATACATTGGTAAAAACTGCACCCAACTAAGGCAACTGTGCATTAATAGACCATCTTTGCCACTTCCCATGTTGCCAATTTCTCTATTAATTTCAGTTTGCGGACCATCGTCTAAGTTGCTGTTGTTGCTGCTTTATTAATAGCCAAATGGAGACTATTGTCCTGTCAGGCAGATGACAGTCGTTGAAAACTCAGAAAATGGTACCGAAATCACCAAACGTCTACACTTGCCTACAGTGTCTGCGGAAGCTGATGTGTCCTTAATAGAGAACGGACAGTTGATACCCATTAGCAGTTATCACTCACATCCTACGGGTAAGCCACTTTTTTATCCAGCTGTTTCTAACGTAACTGATCCAATAGTAATTTTTCAGTAGTTTTTGGTTCGGCCTGCAGAGAAGTCGGCACACATTGACGACCTTAGTAAAAAATGTATGCAGGACGAATGCAATATAAGGTGTGTTTGGTAGTTGTGAAACTTAGAACACCTTAAAACACCTGATTACCGGGCATCCATAGCATAGTATTAGCTAACCAGTCTGCAGTGTAATGGGGCATAAGCGGGTTGCGACGTTTGGACATGCATTGTACTTACCAAGGCAGCATTCATCGGATTAAGTGCTTTTTTTCTATTCCAAACCCTTGTTGGGGGGATGAAATGGTTAGGCGAAATGAATTCGGTGATGACGAAACTAGGTGCTGTAGTATCCTCAAGTTTTTTTGGCTGGGGGACACGTGATTAGAAACCATAGGAAACATGGCACATAGCTGATCCAAGCGTCACTTGTTAGCATGTATACCTAGCCAAGGTTTGTATGTTTGGTAACCTTCGTAAAGGATGCTCTATCAATCCAGCTGGTGGCCTGGTTTACCAATATAATGCTCGGATGTGTCTGTTTGATTGCTCCAGGGAGGTGTGGGTATCTTCTAAACCTGTCCCATAGGGACGTCGGTTTTTTTATTGCATCACCTAAACCCCCGTTTTCCACTAATTACTGAGGTGTTCTCTCCTGACGTTTTTGGTAGGTAGGCACCAGTAAGCAGCATCCCCGTCCGGTGGTTATTTTTGTTTGAAACTGACTAATGTAATTCAGTTAAGCTTAAGAAATCTCAATAACATGGACACATAATAACAATTGGAGCCAAATAGTAATAGGTGAATAGGGGATGGTACGAATTGCTGCAAGCTAAATACGAACAAGATTAGGTTATTATACTGATCTTATTTTACTCTCGGGAGCAAAACATCGATACACCTGACCGTCTCGTTCCTTCAGAGCAGGCTAAAGGATAGACCTCAGTTCATGTCAACAACAAATCACATCAACTAACCAAGTTAGAGAAGAAAACCACGCGCATTATAACCATATTGGACACCTGGCCCCGAAAGTGAACTTTGTCAGGATTGTTTGGAATCGGTTCTTCTGTGGTGGATTCATCTTCTATGTTCTCCAAGCCTGTCAGTTTTTCCAACTCATGAATATGGGCATCCTGTTTTTTGTAGAATGCACTTGAAAAGCAACAAAAACGTGTTACAAAAGGTTATCTGTTATGATGCGAACTGTATGGGACAGTACACGTACCTACACTATGACTCAGCATGCAAATTTTCGGGCAAAAAGTTTACTGAGATGCTTTTTGGCAGCCCTTGACGATGGCACGGCCCGGAATTTTTTCACGCATTATCAATGTAAAACAAGTGTTAGGTTCACTAATCAGTCAGCTCCCGCCTCCGATTCGCAGCTACTTCCCACCTCCCCGAATCATCGGTGAATGAAACAGCTATAACAACCGCACGACAAGTACGCGGTTATTACAGCTGACAATGATGATGAAGTTTAAAGTAGATAACACAAAAATTAACGAAAATACCGAAGTTCATTGCGGGAAAATTGTTGACCAAGTTCTATCAACATACTTTACATGACCTAGATTATGGAGCCGACTGCCGTTTGTGACGTGCCCAAGATGCTCGCAAAGCAACCTGAATATCAGTATCCTTTTTGATGCACACAAGCATCAAGATAAATAGGTGACGGTAAATCATTCCCAATACTGATTAGTTTTGGGATGTTATTCGTGAAATAACAAATTTTAGGAAGGGAGTGGTCATTGCTCTTTAGAGAAGAGAGCAGTGGCCAAGTTCGGATAGGAAGAAATGTTGCATTGATTTTCCAGATGTTTCACATATCATTAGACTCACACTAATTGGATTCTTTAAGCACATTCATTCTTAAGTCAGTGCTGATTCTCTCAAATCGCCCACACAGCTCCGTAAGATAAACATGCCGGCGTAAAAAAAAAACATCGGTTTTGTCAAGAGGGTTACTTATTCCTAATCAAACGGCATCAGAAGGTGGAAGTGAATCTGATTAGGCTCAAGAAATATGTGGACACCGGCCAGTTCGCAGCCATTGCCTGAGTAGGTCCAGAAGGCACATTTGTCTACTGCCAAATGAGGCAGACGACGCAGCACCAGTTCATCACGAACGATTTGATGTGCTCTAGTCCAATACAACATAAATAGTGTACAAAACTGGTCACCAAGACGAAAAGATAAATGTTACTTGCATTCGAATAGTATACTGAGGGCGTGGTAATTCCATTTCAAAAACAGTATGTTCACCGTTGGAATAATTCATTTTCAGAAATAATGACAAGAGATGAGCCGTGGTCCATTGTACGTGATTAAGAATACTGTGGCATTCGTTATACCTTTGAGTAAGCAATTTTCACGTCCAAATTGTTATTTAGGCTTCCAGCCTCTTCAAATAGGCAAACTTGTAGTGTTCTCCAACAGTAATAATGCGTTACCCGACAAGCTGTTGACGGGTGGTATTTGCTGACATAACTGAAACCGTTCAGTTGCCAACGGTTGATTTTGGAGGGGCAACCAAATGAGTGCGAAAAACACAACCAATCTGCTTTCACCAAATGGATTGGGCTCACCAAGATTCCCATATATTTCTTCTTTCGGTGTGGTTGTTGAAAATTCTAAGTCCCTCTGGCATAAATCGATGTTGAACGGATTCCCGACTAAATCTTGCTCGCTTTTTATTCACATTCGGTCGATTGTGTATGCGCATTATTGTGTGGTACCATTGCAGTCCACCGAAAGCACGAATGGCAGTGTGTCAGGTGATGGATATGACAAACACCTAACTTGCCCGACTGCTGCAAAACAACATTCACCTGGAGCCGCGAATCATTTGGCACTGCCCACTGCCCAAGACGTTGAAAATGAACCCTGAATATTATCAAAAGCGCTTGCTTACAATTTACAATGACCGTCAGAATATGCCCAAAAAGTAATAAATTGGCAATCACAAGAAATATGCCCTGGAACAAATACGACAAACGACATAGCGGTGTTTGTTCCCTGTTGGGACTCATGAAAACTGAATCCAGATTGTTCAATACGTGCTAACCTGACGTGGCAGCTAGACGTAAAGAGGGTTTTTAGCTGTAAATCCAGCATCCCCTGTCATTGCGGGACCAGTGTGAGATGTTTCCCCTTTTGCACGCCACCACAGGGTAACTATCAGGAAGGTCAGCTTCCTGAAAGCAGTCACTGAATGCCCGAAATCTACTGAGACTCTCAGCTCCGCTAGATGTTGACCAGACAGACAACGCCCCTTCAATATGCAGCGCCTCACAGCCTTGTATCCAACCCAGGCAGCGAGAGTCAGTGTTGACCAAGGTCAGTCAACGCCCCCGCAATACGCAGCACGTCACAACCCCGTAGCAAAGCCAGACCGTGTGCGCCAGCATTGGACCAAGTTCAGACAGTGTCCTTCCAATAAATAGCTTGAGAACGTCCTACTTTTCGCACTCGCACGCACTCACGCTCTCGCACTTGTTCGGAATATAGCTGTTGTGTTCCCTTCTGCGAGTCTTTTTTCTCGGGCACTAGGCGCTGGAGCGGGTCAGCAGCAGATACCACAGATTAGCGAATCAGCAGACATAACGGCAACCAGTCAAGATTGGCTCACAAATAATGGAGGAGATCAGGTAGTTTAAAGATCACAGTTGACTAAAAATTGAAGGGCAAAACACATCACCAATTTAAAAGATGCATGTGGTGAAATCATGTCTATCAACCGCCCGTTATTCGGGTTGCAACATCGGTCCGTACGCATACGCAATTCCCGGGCTCCTTAAGTAAAACTGGACTTATCTATTGACAAGAAAGCGCTCACAAAATTATTTTAACGACAGTTTACCCTCTGTTGTTTGTTGGTTCTAACTTCCATGATAGACTTGGACAAAACACTTCGAAGACTGAAAAAATCACGCACTCTTCAGTTATGGCGGATAGTAAAATGCACAGAAAACATTGCCGCTCACTACATAACGACTGCCAAGTAATGCACATATTGTCCAATAGAACTGATAGGATTGTGCAGAGGCGAGAAATACATGATTGTTAGGCGGAAATCGGGTTGTGCTTAATTTCGGATGTTCGCAAAGTCGCAACGTACCGTACAGCTTTGGAGATTTCTTTACGTTCATGACTGCGATCACTTAACTGAGATAAGAATGCCTCGATTGGATGCGTTCGCCAACTTTCATCTGGAACCAAAAGAAAGCCAGGTAGCAAGGCGCTTAAACTGTCACAATGTACATTATAAATAGAACACAGCCCCCAGCAACCTATTCAATACGTGGGTAAGCTTGCGATGAAAGCATAAATATTTCAAATGTAGCTGTGCGACAAGGTTCCATAGGTAAAAATTTCCTAGTTGATGTCTTTTGATTGACTTCATACCCACTATTTTGACAGGTTTTGCGCGGACTACATTTCTGAAAGGAAGTAAAAAGTTTCTTTCGGGAAACCGTATTGCTCACAGCCTCATGTTTCCGAGTAATATTTATCCATTCGATCTCAAGAGGCTGAAACAAGATTGCTTAGGCTCGTTCAAAAGAGTATATTTTCCTTCAACCCACACATCTACATAAAGTATACGACAATTACTTGCGAAGAACATCTTCGACCAAACTTTGGCGATTACCCGCGCACTAACATCCCTCCGTAGTCCAATTACTCAACGTCATATTGTGTCATGCAGAGGATCACTGTAAGCAATCATGAATATAACAAGAAGTTGCAACAAATTTTACTCTCCGTGAGGATGATAAGCAATCAATAATATGCTCATATGCCCATGGGCTTCATCCGAAATCCGGTCTTGAGTGATCGGAGTTGAGAAGGGGGGATTTCGCGTGTGGCTCATCGCTCAGTTTTCTGGAACTCACTATCACCTATGGCTACCGGAAAAGCTTAGCAACGAGTAGTTCGTGGCCGAACAGTCGAGGTTCCCCCATGTTTCTTGAAATGTGCACTGCCAGTAATTTATAATAAAAATGAAATAGCCTTGCAGTGCTTCTCGACTTCTCAGTACATATTGCCTTTGTTTACAGAACGAAATCATTAGAATAACCAAATCTCCTCATGCTACCGACGAAATGCATGTTTTCCTCGGCTATACGGGAAGTTACCGCTAAAATAGTCATGTCGCAACCATACTGAATGACATTTAGTTAAGGGTTAGTGGAAAAGAGGTCCAGATTATTGACGTATAGTCCACCGGACAATAAACTACGTTCTACATTTTTAAGTTGTCGCCGCGTTTTCCCTATGAACCATCAGTAGCAACATACCAATGTACCGGTGGATGCTACTGATGAGGCATGCGAGTTATACGTAACTCGTAACTCCGCTTTGCATCTATTGGGAAGTGGGGTTTATTACGGAATTTGTGGAATCCCTTTGTAGCATTTGTTTACATTTGGGTGATAGTCAATGAATATCCAGGAAAGTTCAGAGGGACGCGCTCAATAAGACGGATATTCAGTTTTTATAAACAAG